CTACTTTTTACAGCGGAAAATTGCTTAATTCCTACGGGAAAACGGGTAATATAGGACAACGGTTAGTTAGAATGGGCAAGTGGACTGATAATTAATTATTATTACTCCACTGTGTATAGTTAGAAACCTAAATCAATTTTTGCAACACTTATTCTCACGCTCTTTTTATGTAAATCAATGATTTACTTTCTACTGACATTTATTTGGAACAGATACAAGGGTGATCAGAATGCTGAATCTTGAACCACTCTGCATTTGTTCCAATTAAATGTCAATAGATAGTAAATCAAAAGTTGGGATAGGGACATGGAAGCCGTTTTGGCCGATAATGAATAGTTTCCACACAAACAAATCCTAAAATTGAAAAATCTCGATTTTGAACGCCCTATATCTCTGTAATCATTCTCGCTAGACCCCAAGTGTGGTGCATTGATGAAATCAGCTCACAAAGGAGAATGCGAAAATGCAATGAAATACAGGGTGTCCCATAAGAAAAAGTATAACTATGATACGTCACGCATTTCTCAGTCACCCCTGTATAAAATCGAAATAATTTGGAAATGTGCTGCTTATGATCCTAGATCATCTCTGTGATTTTTGTTCATCTATCTCAAACAGTAAAGCCGCTATCTCACTTTGCCACACTAATGACTCACCCTGTATATACATATTTGAATCAATTCAAACATAAAAATACACCCTTATTTTCCTGTTATGGCTTTCATCTGATGATGCGTAATATGACAAACGAGATAACAATGATTTTGAAAAGGTGTTCATTCAAATATTACCAAAATATCATTAGGATTAGACGAGGATTAGATGATTGAAACTCTTTGTACTATAACAATCCGATGTTTATTTTTAATTTTATCACACTCCAAACAATATACGGAAGGACCAGCATATGGGACAACTTACTTTCCACTAATTGATTACAACTGCAACAACAATCTGGTACGGTACACGCAAAAAAAGAACCCTCGGTTCATGAAATACTTGTTAATCCCTTACATAAAACAGTGAAACGGGTCTGCATAAACATATCAACAATTCTGGAATTTACATAACAAGAAATGAACGTAAATATGTTTGTCGTGTGCTGTTTTCCTGCTTTCTTGCATGTAGTTTAACGAGGAGCACCTAAATTCCGAAGAACTATTAATCTTTCATGAGATTCAAGGAATTGAGCAATGTTAACACAACATATCCTTTATCGTCGATCTCTACAAGAAAATCACATTTTATCTTCTAATTTCCGAACGAAAAACCGACCATTTTTGAAAGCAAGCACTTTTCGTCCGCAGAAACTAACTTTTCGTCCGTAAACACTTTTCGTCCTCTGCGGTGTTGCCAGTTCTACTGAATTTTCAGTAGATCTTGCATATTGATCTACTGATCTACTGAAACATGGCATTATCTACTGAAACATATCAACGGCTTACCACCTCAGCTAAGCCATCTCTTATCGAGTTTTCTTTCAGGCAGATCGCTTCACGTGGTGGTGGACGGTGTATCGTCTGATACCATTGGCATCAATTCCGGCGTTCCACAAGGATCAATTTTGGCACCAACGTTATTCCTTCTTCATATCAATGATCTGTTGGAAGTAACAACTTGCCCCATCCACAGCTTTGCAGATGATAGTACCCTCCATACTGCGTTCTCTTCCAGAATTCCCATTTCTTCCCAGGAAACTAAGAACTCACGACGCAGGCAGGTCAATGCTGTCAATGAAGACCTTGCTGAAATCACAGCCTGGGGAACCAACAACCTAGTTGAATTCAACGCCACCAAAACTCAAGCCTGTATTTTCTCTAGAAAGGCGGAACTCAGTATGCCCGACATTGTTATGTCTGGCACCACCATCCCCACCAAGCCCACCATATCTATGCTCGGTATCTCCATCAGCAACACTCGTTCATGGGATAATCATGTCAGATCCATCGCAAAAGCTGCTTCACAAAAACTCGGATTCTTGTTCCGTGCGAAAAGCTACTTTACACCTCAACTGCTTCTCATGATCTACAAAGCGCAGATACGGCCTGTTCTAGAATACTGTTCCCACATATGGGGTTCAGCACCAAAACAAACGCTGATGCTCTTAGATTCCATCCAGAGAAGAGCCATCCGCCTGGTGGGTGACGCCAAACTCACTCACTCTTTGAAATCATTGGAACACTGTAGAAAGGTCGGCGACCTTTCACTTTTCTATCGATACTGCCACGGGAAATGTTCTTCGGAAATCTCTGATATCATCCCTTCACTAGCAATACCAGTCAGACGAACTAGACAAGCCCAGTCAGTACATCCTTTTGTTGTCAACCTCGCAAGATGTCGAACAGCATTTTATCAAAACTCCTTCATCCATAGAACGGCTAGGCTCTGGAATTCATTGCCTGAGGAAGTATTCCCGACAACATATAATCTCCAGAAGTTCAAAAAAATCCCAATACCTACCTCCTATCCCTATATTCCCTAGGAACGCATGATGTTCTTTGAACATTATAGGGATCCCCTTTCGTGCGCTCCAAGCGATAAAAAAAAATTATAGGAAATATCGGGGAATTCAGTCAATCGGGCTATACAAGCAAACTACTTTATTGCTATGCCAAATGGCCAAGCTTTCCAAGATTCTTATTTTCTTCTTCAAGGCTGAAACAATTTATGGTACATGGAACATTTTCATATACAATTTAATTCAACAAAAACAAGAACTTACTTGCAATGTGAGTCAAATGGTATAAATTAGAATAATAATGAGTATGAAAAATATAGATCATAAAATTGATAGGACAGTGACAAAAGTCATATAATTCATATACCGGAAGTGAAATTATAAAATTATATTTTTGTTGAATATCTTATAAGGTACAGTCAATTTGAAATCATCATGAACATTAATTTTTATTTTTTGATAAAAAATGTTGGTTTCCTCGAATTTCATAATATGATAATCATTAGTGATAACGTGTTCAGCGAGTCCACACTTACATTTGAGAAGTCTGCAGTCATTTTTCAGATCACAGTGATTACAAGGAATGCAATAAACAACACATGATCTGATGTTTGTGGACTCGCTGAACACATCATCACTAATGATCATCATATGAAATTCGAGGAAACCAAAATTTTGCATACAGAAATTTTTTTTACGAAAATACTGTTTTTAGAGATGGTTGGATAATATATTCTTATTGAATATCTTTTGTTCATGATGAAATTCAAAATGACTCTTATACCTCATAAGATATACAACAACAATCTAATTTGTTATACTCATTATTATTCCAATTTATACCTTTTAACTAACATTGCAAGTAAGTTCTTGTTTTTGTTGAATTGAATTGTAACAAAATGTTTCATTTACCATTTATTGTTTCAGCCTTGAAGAAGAAAATAAAAATCGACTATGACAGACAGTGTTTCTTCTCCACGCAAGTAGATACACTTATCTTGAACATTCAGCAATAGCTCGAGACCTGTGCCTATGCATTATGTGAAAATGAATCATGTATTATTCCTTTTTTGATAGTTTTCTGATGATTTGATTGAATAATCAAATCACTACATGATCGAGCCAAATCAATATCATCTAACCAACAAATTTTCAATAACGAAATCCACCACATCAGAGATGTTCTTCAACTCAACTCATATCCAAGCAACTTCATTGATAGAACGATTCACCAAATTGAATACAAACAAAATACCTACACCACAACAAAAACAACCATCAATAACGACGAATATAACACCGTACATTCCTGGCATATCTGAAAAAATAAAACGTGTTTGTGATAAGTTCCAAGTGAAAACAGTGTTCAAAACTGAAAATACAATTAGATCCATTCTAACTATAACAAAGCCAAAAAATGGAGAACAATCATCAAAAAATTTTATTTATAGTATACCTTGTGTTTGTGGAAAGTATTATACAGGTGAAACGAAAAGACCTCTCTCAGTAAGGACTAAAGAACACAAGTACAATATCAAGAAAAGACATATCGATAAATCGAAGCTAACTGAACATATCCTTACTGAAGATGGACATTATATGGCAGAGTGGAATAATATCAAAATCATAGGGAAGGAAGATAACAACCAAAAAATGAAAAATCATGGAATCCGCTTGCATTCTTCTAAACGGAGACAATAGCATTGCTTCCTGTTCAGTTGATATAGATAGAACATGGTATTTACTACTGAAAGCTGAACATGGAAATGGTAGATTCAAGATCAATTGATGGAAACATCCTGTAACTAATTTGTAGACTAAAGTCGCTCATTAATATGCCAACATTAGTATGACACTGAAAAGTGTCAAACCATGAGCAGCACAACTTTCAAAGAAACATATTTTGCATTTACATGTTGAGAACGGGAGCAGAATCGGTACCGAAACGTCCACAGATATGTAAAAATTCGATATTTTTTCAATATATCTATATTTGCTTCAAACATTTTTTCAAACAAATTGTCACTGAGAAGCTACTGGATTTTTCTTTTAGACTCCCTGATGGAAAAATTTGTTAAACGCAGTGCCATTTTGGGGCAAATCATCTGATGATTTGTCCCTCTACAAATATATTGAAATAATACGAATACTTTTATTTTATAGAAACGAGGAGAAAAAATCCCAAAGAATCAAGTAAAATGAATGTACCACCTCCTCGATTAACCTACAGACAGTATTTAATACATAGGCGTTTAATAAATTGGTTTGGTCAATGGCAAAACAGTGTAGTGTCATTAAAAACTGTCGAGGTGACTTTCGAATTTTTTCACGTGTTTCAAATGGAGCCACTACACTGTGGAAAACCGTGGACATCTGCCAGATACGTTTGGACGAAGGGTCGATGAGAAAGGATAAATTAAGAATAAATACAGGATTTTCTTAAGCGGAAATCACTCCTTGTTCGATGTTATGGTTGTATAGAGTTATAGACCAAACCGAACCGACTTAGAGTCGTAAATCAAGTAGCAGTTTGTTTACACTTTCATGAAAGCGACTTGTCCGCTGAAAATTACAAACCGAGCAATATAAATAAGAAATTACGGTCGTCCACAAGAGGGCAATTAGTTTAAAGGTTATAGTGAACATTCATCTGTTCGAAACTTGAACAGGTCTCCCAGATACCAAATACATATAATAATAAATGAGACGTATATTGTCACCATCGATTACGAAACTGAATGCATCAAAAATATTTGATGTTTTCAAATCTTGAGAAAGAAGTCGACGAATTTTCGGTCAGAACGATGAACAGATCGACGAACACTTCGCCGAAAATTGTGTTAGAATATTAACAATTTAATGATATATCAACTTAGATAGATAGATAGATAGATAGATTTATTTGTTTCAAAAACATACAGTTTAAGAAAAAAACGTCAAAATTAGGCTGAAATACATAAATAAATGAATATCGTTATATACAAGATTTCACAGGTACATAAACATGAAAAGTATATGAACGTCTACTCGAAAACATTATTCATCAGTCAGCGATGATTGGATCACAGAAGAATTCATCCAAGGTGTAATAAGATTTTTTCAGGAGCAAGTTTTTCATTTTATTCTTGAATTGGAATTTATTTTTTGATTCTTGTATAGATTTTGGCAGGCAATTGTATAATTTACATCCATTGTAATATAAACTTTTCTGATACCGAGCAGATGAGTGTTGAGGAGGCAACAGATAATCTTTGTTCCTTGTATTACAATACAATATAATTACAATTATGTTCGATTTTTTCAGTCTAAAAATAACGTTTATGATTATATACAAAACAGGTTACTTCATAAATGTAAAAGTTTTTTAAAATATTCCCTGCATGAATCTCTTGCTCTCAGATTTCCCAAGATACGGACCGCCCTTTTTTGTAAGGCCCTATGAGCTTCTGCGGAATTCGCCCAATGCATGATTCCATATTTTAAATTTGAGTGGAAGCAACTTATTTCATACACGATCGGACGTAAAGTGAACTTTATCGCCCGGACTGGCGGGCGTGAAGTAGCACTTTAGCGCCCTAGGCCGATAAAGGAGTTGAGCGGGCGGTAAATTAGTCCGGCGGGCTAAACGTATTTACACGCTTTGGATACATGAATCTTCGATGGACAGCAATCCAATAATCGAATATACCGGGTGTAACGGGATCATGATACACCAAATCATTTTGATAAACTTAATTTGGACCTAAATCAAGAACAGAGATTTTTGTCAATAGTATTCCATCAATTGAAATCTGGAAATGAAAATGGTGAATTCAAGATTAATTAATGAAAACATCCTGTAGCTCATTTGATTGCCAACGTCACCAATTGTCACTGAGAACTGAGAAGTGTCAAGAAAAATACGAATTTGCCATACAAAAATCCATTTTTTATGTTGAAAACGGGAGCAGATTCGTTCCCGAAACGTCCAAAGATAAGTAAAAAGTCGATATTTTCTCTATATACCTTTATTTCTCTTCCCCGAACCTGTTTCAATAAAATTGTCACTGACAAGCTAGTGAATTTTTCTTTTAGGCTCTCTGATAGGAACATCCTTAAACGCAAATCATCTGATTTGTCATTACCACACGTATATTGGAATGATATTCATATTTTCAATTTATAGAAACGAGGAGAGAAAATGGAGAGAAAATCCCAAAAAATCTAGAAGAATCATCATTGTTTTTTTGAAATCTGGATTCAATATTCCACCTATGATATAAATTAATTTTTTTCGAAGTGTGCATTAGAATATGATGATTGCTATATACAAACATGATGATAATAGCAGGTGGTTATAATCATAGTGTAAATTGACAGATTTTGATATACTTGACAATAATTTTGACACCTTTAAATAGTTTCATAGTTATGATATTTTTGATATCTTATAATATTTGATGATATTTTGATTTTGATATGAAAATTCTTTAAACGCAGTCACATTTTGGGGCAAATCATCTGATTTGTCCTTACTACACGTATATTGAGATAATATTCATATTTTTATTTTATAGAAATGAGGAGAAAATCCCAAAAAAAATTGGAATAATGAATAACATTCTTAGATTATACAGGATGACCCATAAGTCATGGATCAAAAGAAGTGAGGTGGTAGATAGACATGCCGATACAATGTGATGAGAATTCTGAATCTTGAACCACCCTGTATCGACCAATAATGAATAGTTTCGACACAAAAAAATGCTAAAGTTGAAAAATCTCGATTTTGGACACCCTATATCTCTGTTTCGATATTCGATAGACCCCAAGTAAGATATATCGATGAGATCAGCTGTTTAGGGAGAATCTAAAAATGCGATAGAATACAGGGTGTTTCATTTGAAATATCAATGTTGCTACCACTTTCTAGTAAGAGCGACAACACTGCATTGTCGAAAACAAGCATGCACATTTTCATGGATTTCTCCCGACTTATTCTCGATGATATTGTAAGCTGGCCATAACATAACCTGTATACATACAATGAATTAACCTAAGAATGATTTTCCACTCATGATTCGCGAAAATCACGAAGTGTGCGGCCTCTGGTGGCTAACTTTACAAGTCTCGCGAGTTTGAACAACAAATATGGCGACCATTGATTTGAGGTTCTGTGTTTTATTTGAAAATAATTTATTTGTTGAAGTGCATATTCCAGAACTTCATTTTTCCCTGATAAAAAAACTCGAATTATTGCATGAACTTTTATTGTTTACAATGAAGAAGCCGTGCCAGTACCTACCTTATAATAATATAATATACATTTTCTGAAGCAAAGTTAGAATCCTTGTATAAATGTTGGTTGCAATGATTCGATCTTGAGAATAACTTCAAGTCTTCAATTGCTGGAGATAATTGTTTATGTAAATCAATGATATTGTTCATTCTGAGCCGCCTCTCCAACCATATCTTCTTTTCCCAGCCCCTTCACTAGAATTCCATCTCCTTCATAAAAGCCAGTGATATTTCTTGATGAATTCAATTATTTCTTCATACCTATACCATATTGTTGTAATAGCTGATTGCTTATATGGCTCCATTCCAGTCCATGCAAGTGTTGAGTGGACCAATCCGACCATTCCATATGTTTGAAAACTGTGGATTTGTAGTGTGATATCAATGATGAATACCACCATTGTCCACATAAAAATGGCGATTTCTCTGCACAAAAAAGAAATTTTTTCCATACTGGAAACCTTGTACGTATTTCACGAAGTCAACTCATTATTTACTATTTTGCAAAATGATTTCCAAATAACCAATTTGCAATGAGTGCATACGGCAATGTTTTTGTTGTTCATACTCAGTTTGAAATTTGACGTTGATTTGACGTTAAATAGAGCCATCTATTGGTTCGTGATTTTCGCGAATACTCTCATAATTATATTGGTTGGGCACTGACCTGATTAAAATAAGCAGGTAGCATACATCTTTGGTCGTCGATTCTGGATCTTTGGGCCTTCTCGAGCAGCTCGAAAAGGTCTTGGGTGGTGCCCTTCAGTCGTTCGGGGGTGCCCTTGGGACTTTGCACCCCCGACAGCGGCGAGCCGTGCCACGTCGTGTTACTTTGCTGTCTCCTGGAACCAAACAGAAACATTAATTAGGTACCTATTTGCGAAGATAATGATATTCTCGATTTATTTCAAGCATTCGAGTATTTTGATCATTCATTGACACATTCATTGAGAATGGAATCTATACAGGGTGTTTCATTGGGAAAGGTAAATAATTCAACTGTGGATAGGGGTCACTGAGGTGATTTCAAAAAACCCATTGTTGATGGGTCTTCGACTTCTCATAACCGAGATACAGGATGTTTCATCAATTTTGTCCATATCTTCATTGTCTCATAACATTCCAACCAACCTGTATATATTTTTAAAAATTGGTACACTTGCTCAATCTACCCTGTGGAATTGATTGAGGCAACAACGAAAGATAAAATCCAGGTTCGGCTTCACTTAAAATTCACAAATTCTTTCTGCCAGAAAACAACACCCTATACATTCGAATTTCTCATTTTTTTGCCATATCTGAAAAAAGACATCAAGATTTCTATTCAACGATGTGCTTTTCATGTGCTCAAATAATTATTTTTGCTCATTTTGGGGTACAAAATTGGAATCAGACGAGATTTATTAATTTTATTACTTCCTATTCAGTATACGTGAGTATTACATTTAGAAGGAGCATTTTATATCGTTCTTTGTTCCAGACTTAGTTGCAGGTCCGTCATCAAAACTATACAGGGCTTTTCACGATGAGCGTTAATTTGACGTTTTCGACAAACCAGGCAACGGATAAATCTGAAATTTTTGAAACGATCTGGCCTTGCCGCTTCTACTAGAAAGTAGCAGCAATTTCGATTTTTCAAATGAGACACCCTGTATTTTTGTAAGTAAATTTTTGCATTTTTGCCCACCCTGTACCAATTTGAAGCAACATATTATACATTTTTGGAATCAGCTCAGCAAGGGCAATTCTGAAATTGAAAAAAAGGGGGGTTCCATTTGAAAAAAATGGTGATGACGTCATTACACGAAAGTGGTTCACTCTGTATATTAGATTATGATTTGAAACAATAGTAAATTGAAATCAAAAATCGACCTGTTTCGGGAATTTCTAATTTTATTGTTCATTTAGCCAATAATGAATTCATGCGTTACTTTATGGACGCACTGTATATCCGGTCGTGGATGAAATCACACATATATCTCGAAAACAAAGGTTCATTTCACAGGCGGGAGGAAATGAATACTTTCGCATATCTATTGACAGAATAACTTGTCAATTATTTTAGATAATTACAAGGGTCCATTGTAAACGTAAACGTCACTAATAATACATAAGCTGCGGAAAACTAGTGTAAATGGGTGCAACATTTTGACAGTATATACATACATTATAGTGACCATTCGTTGACCAGCTAGACTTCCATTATCTGGTGTTATCTAGTGATCTGAAGAACAGTTGATTGCGGCGCATTTTCATGTTTATTCCATTAGATTTGGTAGTTTTTCAGTGTTTCTCAGGATGGCCAATTACCGACTTTTAAAAATCGGGTTGGCAACACTGTTCCACTTCTATACTCTGAGTAAATAGTTCTTTAGATCTCGAACATAAAGGCTCCTCCATCATGAGAGCACGACATAATCTCTCCAATCTCCACTATCGGCACCAACGAACATCCTCGACACCTCATCACCGAAGCACACCCTTATCGTAAAACAAACTCTAATCGCAGCATCGCTTCCTCGATCGTAGAACCCACTTTGCATAGAACAAGTCGTTCTGTGCCTGATTTCCCGATGAGATGCGATCGGATTACATCCTCTTCGTCTTTGGAGTTAGTAATCCACTCGGGCCATATTATCTTCCGCGACAGGATATCAGAGGGTCAAGTTGAGACGTGTTGGAAACTTTACGGTGCTATATGCACAAGACATGAATTTAACGATATGGAACAATACATGGTGTAACATAAAATGCGCGTTTACACCAAAGATGACAGATTGTTTGTAGAAAACAAAAAGTTGTCAACTAAAAATTGCTCTGCTAAAATGGAAGATGTTTTGTAGAAAACTGAAAGTTGCTCTTCTCAAATTTAGAGTGAAAAAATTCAGTATTGATTCGGGAATTCCGATAAATGTCTTAGATTCCATCCAGAGAAGAGCCATCCGCCTGGTGGGTGACGCCACACTCACTCACTCTTTGACATCATTGGAACACCGTAGAAAGGTCGGCGACCTTTCACTTTTCTATCGATACTTCCACGGGAAATGTTCTTCGGAAATCTCTGCTATCATCCCTCCACTAGCAATACCAATCAGACGAACTAGACAAGCCCAGTCAGCACATCCTTTCTCTTGTCAACCTCGAAAGATGTCGAACAGCACTTTATCAGGACTCCTTCATCCATAGAACGGCTAGGCTCTGGAATTCATTGCCTGTGGAAGTATTCCCAACAACATATAATCTCCAAAAGTTCAAGAAAAATTCTAATACCTACCTCCTGTCCCTATCCTCCCTAGGAACGCACGATGTTCTTCGAACATTATAGGGATTCCCTTTCGTGCGCTCCAAGCGATAAAAAAATAATAATAAAAAAAATATATGCCCTGCATGAACTCTTGAACTAATTCAATGAAGCACATCCATGAATTGACTCAAACAATCATTTTGTTTGATTCAAAATGACAAGATGAGGCAAGATATTGATTCAATGAAATATTTGGTGGATTCAATGGAATATTTCGTTGATTCAATGAAATATTTGATTGATTCCGAGGATCATTCAATGAAATATTTTGTCCATTCATTGGAATATATCATTGATTCAAGAGAAACTGTATTTCAATTCGACAAACTGTTTTGTTGAACCCAATTCAGTATTGATTCGGAAGTTCTCAGAAATTTCACATCAGGTGAATAAAGAACTGAACTAGGAAACTGAACTGAAACTAGTGAACTTCTAGCATAGATCTCCAGTCTTCACTACTCCTCACTCTCTATCAGCTGATGCAAGGCTATTTCGGCATGCTAAGCATCCTATATAAGTTCGATTTATCCAGCTGATATCTCAAACACAAAGAATCAGGCTTCACGTATATAATGAATTCGAGGCAGGCATAGAAGAAGCGAAAAGATAGCCATCTTGTGGCGAATATGTAACTTGATGTTGAATGAACGAAATAATATTTCATTGATATTATATTATATTGCGTTGCTCTATTCAAGCAAATGATGAGTTCGAAACGAGTTCATTGCTACATGGAAATAAGATAACTTGTATGTTGCTTCAAAGATACCGAAATATACATTCTTATCAATATGATTATTATTTCATCAAATCTACAAAATGTATATAGTTGAATCAACATCAACATTATTTTGGATCAACATGATTTGTTTTTGAGATAACCATAATATATTTTGTTGGTGGAATTGATATTATACTGTTGATTCAATTATCAAACTACATTCTTGATTTGAACAAGCTGCTTGCTTCTATGAAATTATCATGTATCTGTTTGATACAACAAGAAATACTCAGTCCAACAAAATAATTCAAGCATAAAAAACTTGTTGATGCAACAAATTTCTTTTTCCGTGCATCACAAAGTGGAGTAATCGGATGAAGTAGTAGTAAAACCCCAAGTCATTTCCACAATAATTATGGAATGAAAATCTAGACGATTTTAGTAGGTCATGTTTCGATCATCAGCGTAGATATCAGTATTGAGTATTCACACTAGTGTATATAATCAAGGATACCAGGTACTAATTCTACAACAAATGGAGGACTGAAAAATCAATCAATTTCATGTAATATTGGAAACATGTCCTATTAAAATCGTCTACATTTTCATCAAATAACTATGGAGATGCCTGGGAGTTCTATACTACTACTGCAATGTAGTCGATATATATACCAAATAATTTTAAGACTCCTCCTCATCAATAATAATATGAAAGATATGATGAATGAAAGCGGAAAAAGAATGCCTTCCTTAGTCTGGACAAGCAAACGTTATTACATCCACAAGTGATCATTTTAACGAATGCCCTCCCATATTACGATATAAAAAAAGCATTCCACGCCCGAATGGTAGGACCTGAAGTGTGCCCGAGAAATTTACGACACCTTCCGACCGCTTCTTATCGGACCGAAAGTCACGGGAGGCCCCCTGGAAGGGTCCTTGTGGCCCCACCTGGGGCCGCTATTATTAAAGCGATAAATTAGCTTAATTGAATAGCTTCTTATGACGTACTGGGACCGAAAGTTCGTGTTCAGGAAGATAACGGGAGATATAGGGTTACCTGGGGCACTGCGGAACAAGAGGTGACATAATATTACAAAAGAAGCTGAACCATACGGCCGTTATATAAGAAAATTGTTTCCTTTCCGACTGAGGGCTGATCTATTGTTTTGCTACCTGTGGAATCAATTATTACGAAATTAATTAAAAATTTCAAATTCATTTCTGATCGGCTATACAACAAAAATCTGTAAAACTATATATGGTCCCGCCGATCTCATAGGGACATTGCTATTTCCTAAACGGTATATGAGACAAAACTTTCCTGAATTCGATATCATCAATATATGACGTCTTGCAAACTGAAAAAAATTCAACCATATCTGAAATATATGACGAAAAAACTGAAAATTGATAGTGATATTGTTTCTATTCATCTTCTTGCTTAATATTTGTTTTTTGTATATGCGTCATATTTATTGTGTACCTCATTGAATAGGGCTCAACTCTTGATGTACAGTCATATGTATAACATGTCGACATTATCGTTTGAAATAGCGCCCTGAAAACGGTAAGAACATTTCGAAATGTAGTAGATATATATAGGCCATGATGATAAGAAAACAAAATATCAGTCGTCATGACTATACAGTATTCATAGCCATGTCTAACCATGCTGTATAATTGTTATGAAAAAGGGGAATATGACACAGAAAAAACCAAGATTACTCATTTTTCGTTAAATATAGAGTGAAACAGATGATCTAAAATAGCCTTGGGAATACCCAAGTATGGCACCAAATTCTCCTCAACAATCTACCTTTAAACGATTTATATATCCAGGACCAAAAGATATTTTAGAATTTTTGATAAGTAATTGAGTATTCTTGACAACTTGAAATTGAAGTAGAATAAGTGCTTATTTCATTAATCATTTTTATTCTCAAAATTTAGTACAAATTTCATGGTGATTAGAAGGATTCGGTTTAAATTGATTCCTGAATATATTTCATCAATATTTCATTGGTTTAACACATAATCGAATCAGGAATCGGCATTACTAAACTTTTATCTCGACTTTTATTCATGACCCGGTAAATTTGGGATCAGCAGGTGCTCAACTATTATTTAGGAGTATCAATTGACAACCTGACCATTATCGTGAAATTTTTGTGAATACCATTGCCGGTTATAGTGGACCTTGTTCAATCAATGCATACTTCAAATATTTGAGGTCGATTGGGCATGTCCTATTATACAGAAAAACCAGGTGAAGCAAACATTTTTACATGATCTTTCACTATAGGAATCCGAATATACTTTGATACTCATTATATTTAAGGTTGCCGAAAAAAATATTTTCAGGAGAGAGGAGCCTAATATTAAATTGTTATTGAGCGATTCAAATTGTTCGAGTTCCTTTTTTGATTTTTTTGGCCTTCATAATCATAGAGATATAAAATTAGATAGAAATGAATTTGAACCCTCATTCTCATTTGAACAATTGAACCTGTTGAAAAGAGTCAAACACTAATTACGAGAATACTCAAATGATAAGTTTAGATATTATTACTTTTGTTCTGCCCACATTTCTTTATCAAAAACACTCGCACAGATATCAAATTTCACAGACCATTTCAGTGATTCCAACCCTTCAAAATTATAATTACTGCCTTTAGACAGCATGAAGAACTGCGACGCTGAAAATTCATACATACATGCTACATGCATGAAACGTTCTTTTTGTTTTATCTCCTATCATGTGTTGTCTGTCGGCTTCTGAAAATTGTTAGGAGACATCTGGCGAAATTAAACCGCATTTAATTCCATCACGGCTGACCATATTGCACCAAAATCATATGGAAATGTATTTAAATTCGTATCGAGGATGCAACCGGAGGGTATTTTTGTTCCAGCTGGTAATAAAGTCGAATGAAATTTCACGGTTCCGATTTAGTCAGTACGTGCCGCAAATTACATTCGTTTTGGGATACATTAAAATCGTGCTCCGTATATCGGAATATCAACGAGGGAGGTAATTAATTTAGCAATACCAAAGCATACATGATGGCGTTTAGTCAAACCAGGAACGTAGAATACGAGGGGAAAGCAATGCGAAACCTATTTTTTCTAATAATTGTGACATGTACCATAGATAAACCTCAACCAGAGTATTAAGGTATTATTATTTATTATCAAACGGAAAAGATATGTTTAGAATAATCATTGTTAACGGTCATGAAAGAAGTATAAGTTATTCTAGTTTCTAGTAGTAATAAGGCAAGGCATTGATAATAATTTTCAGCATTTAGGCATTAGTCGGCAATGAACTAGCATTTAATGCCGAAACTGGCAATAGGTGTTAGGTTTACATCATTTTGGAGCGTGTTCTCCCCCTCGGTATGTACAGGGTATGTCATGACGAGCTCACACTACCTCTATAATGGGAATCAGTCGGGAGAAATCCATGAAAATATGCATGCTTATTTTACTTGATTCTTTGGGATTTTCTCTCCTCGTTTCTATAAAATAAAAGTATTCGTATTATTTCAATATATTTGTAGAGGGACAAATCAGATGATTTGCCCCAAAATGTCACTGCGTTTAACAAATTTTTCTATCAGGGAGTCTAAAAGAAAAATCCAGTAGCTTGTCAGTGACAATTTGTTTGAAAAAATTTTTGAAGGAAAGAAATATAGATATATTGAAAAAATATCGAATTTTTACTTATATCTTTGGACGTTTCGGGACCGATTCTGCTCCCGTTCTCAACATGTAAATGCAAATTATTTTTCTTTGAAAGTTGTGCTGCGTATAGTTTGACACTTTTCAGTGTCATACTGATGTTGGCATATGAATGAGTGATTTGTCTACAAATGAATTACAGGATGTTTTCATTAATTGATCTTGAATCTACCATTTTCATGTTCAGTTTTCAGTAGTGAATACCATGTTCTATCAATATCAACTGAACAGGAAGCAATGCTATTGTCTCCGTTTAGAAGAATGCAAGCGGATTCCTTTATTTTTCTTTTTTGTTTGTTATCTTCTTTTCCTATGATTTTGATATTATTCCACTGTGCCATATGTTGTCCATCTTCAGTGAGGATATGTTCAGTTAGCTTCGATTTATCGATATGTCTTTTCTTGATATTGTACTTGTGTTCTTTTGTCCTTACTGAGAGAGGTCTCTTCGTTTCACCTGTATAATACTTTCCACAAACACAAGGTATACTATAAATACTGACAAGCTACTGGATTTTTCTTTTAGACTCCCTGATAGAAACATTTGTTAAACGCAGTGACATTTTGGGGCAAATCATCTGATTTGTCCCTCTACAAATATATTGAAATAATACGAATACTTTTATTTTATAGAAACCTACAGACAGTATGCATGCTTATGTTTTAGGATACGCTCTATCTTCTTCTCCAATGATTTTAATATAATTACACTCTGCCATATGTTGTCCGTCTTCAGTAAGGATATGTTCAGCTAGTTTCGATTTATCGATGTGTCTTTTCTTTATATTGTACTTATGTTCCTTCGTCCTTATTGAAAGGGGTCTCTTGGTTTCACCTGTATAAAAGAAGATAACAACCAGAAGATAAAAATCAAGGAATCTGCTTGCATTCCTCTGAACGGAGACAATATCATTGCTTCTTGTTCAGTTGATATAGACAGAACATGGTATTCACTACTGAAATCTGAACATGAAAATGGTAAATTCAAGATTAATTAATGAAAACATCCTGTAACTCATTTGATTGCCAACGTCACCAATTGTCAATGAAAACTGAAAAGCTTCAAAACAAATACGACTTAGCTATTGGAATAATCATATCTTATGTTGAAAACGGAAGCAGAATCGGTCCCGAAACGTCCAAAGATAAGTGAAAATTTGATATTTTTTCTATATACCGTTATTTCTCTTCTCCAAACTTTTTTCAATACAAATTGTCACTGACAAGCTAGTGAATTTTTCTTTTAGGCTCTCTGATAGGAAAATTCTTTAAACGCAGTGACATTTTGGGGCAAATCATCTGATTTGTCCTTACTACACGTATAATGAAATAATATTCATATTTTTATTTCATAGAAACGGGGAGAGAAAATCCCAAAAATTTGGAATGATGAATGTACCAATCGATGTACCACCTACTCGATTAACCTACAGACAGTATTGAAAAATCTCGATTTTGAACACCCTATATCTCTGAAATCTCTTTGGATAGACCCCAAGTGTTATACATCAATGAAATCAGCTCTTCGGGAAGGATCTAGAAATGCAATAAAATACATTTGCAATATCAATGTTGCTACTACTCTTAAGTAAGAGCGGCAACAATGCATTGTCGAAAATATTTCAAATGAGGAAAGCGTATTCTGATATATGAGCATTACACATTATCATGGATTTCTCCCGACTGATTGTAGATATAAAGATAGTGTACGCACGTCGTGACACACCCTGTACTATATAGGGTGTTTCCTAATTGAATGTCAATATTTGAGGAGGCGATCTTTGGGCCCATTTTAAGAAGAAAATTTCATATGAACGTATGACCTAATACCTAAACTTCATAACTCTTGAGGTACAAGGTGGAAAAGTTATCAAAAATAAATAGTTTTTTATTAATATCTGTAATACCACTTAAATTATTCTGATGCAATTTGGCATTCATGTACTATTTTTTTGTTGTGGTCACCAGTGGCGTTCGTATGGAATTTCACATACATATTTTGGCAGACATTGATGGTACGCCACTGATTAATCTCAAAATTGAAATCATTTCTAAGCAATAGGACAGGACGAAATTCTCACAGTCTACTACACCTAAACTATACTTTATTGTAATCAAATTACGGGGGACATGTTTCGAACTTTCAAAGCTCCATCATCAGCTTTTAGTTACATAGGAGAACTGAAGTGAGAGAAAAATATAGAGAAATGTCAGGCAAGCACTTCAACAACGGCAGTTCAAAAAGACTCACCTGTTCTGGAGGAAAAAAATTATGTTCACACAATTTATCACGGAATGACTGAAATTTTGCCAGAAATTGTCTCAATGAGTTCCTCGATAAGTTCTTATAGTAATTTTCCCATAGATTCATAATATGCCCTCAGATTTTTTTTATTAATTATACAGGGTGAGTTATTCTCACAATACTCAAATATATTCCGGTTCTGATATTGATTTCGTTCAGAAGGCTTCTTGTAGATAATCCCTGCATTTAATATGGCAGATTGTCAAAATCTCCAAATCACTCTGTAAATCAGTAACGAAGCGGTTTTAAACATTTGTATATGGCCATCTGCAATAATTGAGTCTGCAATCATATTGGCTGGCCCAATAACTCCATGAGTTTTGTCGGTATTATCTCGGGACACCCTGTATATACCTATCCATCATTATTTGCTCAAACCGCGATCAAAACCGTATCACTTGAATTATCTTAGCACAGTTTCTTCACAGATAACTAACTGTACCTTGCCTTCAAACATCTAATCGGCACAATCTGAGGTAGATTCGTGGATTGCAGCATAACAAGATAGACGACAAGAAGCATAGATTACAGTGAATGAAAGAGAAAATTACAAGTTATGGACGAGTGTTGGTTTGGTTACACCTCCTTCGCGTTGGGATGATAATTTCAATTGCAAATTTTCCGTGTAAGCATGTCTGGCATGCAGCTGTTACAAGGTCGAACCGAAAGAATTGCATAACGATATGGTACAAAATGTTTTAGAATTATATTTCTATTTGATAAGTGGTTTAGAAAGCCATCAACATTGAGCTCATCTAATATCCGGAATGCTCAGGAATCAGGCCTGAGATACCCATATATGGCAAGACTCATTAGAGAAACATATGGGGAATCTCTAGCATTAGATATATCAAAGGCATTCGACCGTGTTTGTCACCAAGGACTGCTCCACAAACCACCACCATAAGTCATACCACTTCAGCTATGCCATTTTTTATCGAGTTTTCTTTCAGGCAGATCGCACCTTGTGGTGGTGGACGTAGTATCATTTGATACCATTGCCATCAATTTAGGCACTACTACTTTATATCAGCGATCTATTGGGAGCAACCACGCCCTATCCACAGCTTTGCAGACCTTCTGCAATAAGAGCTAATAAAAAGACTTGTGAAGTTTCTAAAAGAAGGCAACAAGCTTCGATTCGTGCAATCGAACGAGAGGACGAGGACTGGTCTGAAATGCTGACAAAATATGGTCGTGTGTGTTGTAGACATTTGAGGGATTCTGAAGAGAAATTACTATAATTATGGTTGTGTGTGTTGAGTTGTGTAGCACGACATTCTCACTCTATTAGCTCCTATTGCAGAAGGAATTTTAAAGAGATGTGACAACATTTCAAAATGAAGACTATGTGACTGACTACAGTACTTTTAGATCACTTACAAGAAAAATGTTCAATCCTTCGTCTCTTGCTGCATTTTTTGTGCATTGTACAAAAGCACAATGCAATGGTATGCTTGAATGAATAAATAGCCCAAGAAACACTATTCGTATGCGAAAATAATTGAGAAAAACTCTTTTGATCCTTTGATGTGAGCAAAGATATAGGATCTCGTCACCTGGTATGACATGGAGATAACACGATAATAGGTCCATCAAGTTCGCGAACTTGTCACAATGAATATACAGTCCGTTCTCACGATCCTATCAAAAACGTTGTCAGAAA